TGGCGCCACGTAGCGAAAAGAAGAAACGACTGGCGCGCTGTTGTTAACTCGGCTATAATCGCGTAAGCGGTGTCTACGCCAATCAAGAAGAAGAAGAAGGATGGATCATCTGAGACGTAGCCGCGGCCAACATTTGAAAGAGATAAYCTTCAAAAAATAAATGACAAATAATGTTCTTTCGAATGACAATAAACATTCCCCATTRAATTTGAAGTTCCTATGYTTTTTCTTTAAAAAAGTAAGGAACTTCGAAATGGMTTTATACATTGTATCTGAATGGCTGTATTGTAGCAAAAAGTTCTCTTTCACTTGCTGGGTCTGGTTTGTCTCTTTTAAAAATAGGTGCAGTGTATCTGCAGAGCTTATTTTAAGTTACAGGGTTAGTACAAATTGAATCTTTTCCTTAACTTTTCTTCGACTTCGTCTTCCCGCTGTTCTCAGGCCATGCCATCACAACATTGTAGATTGCTGGTGTCTAAACTTCTTCACTGATTGCGGYTACTGAAACCCAATCTGCCACTCTAACACAAGCACACAACCACCTCCAGCTAATCTTCGGTTGCAAGCAACCTGGAGGCGCAACTAGCCACTACGCTGCTAATTGAGCTGAGCATTTGCAAGCCGATTCTAATGCCAACTAATCAAGCGATGTCCTCCAGTAATTTTTCACAATCACAAGTCTTCTAAGTGTATAATTTCATATTGCAACACACCGGCACATACACACACACACACACACATGTGTGTGTATATGGAGTTATAAAGTGATCGGCAATAAAATTGTCAAGCAATAACGAGCAATTGCAATGTAATTAATTGTGAAACCCGAGTAACAAATTTCCATTCCCGGCCACATTGTAAACACGATTTATTCTGTAATTCAGTAAGATAATCGCACAGAAGCCACAAACAAAGTCACCACACGCTCGCTGCAGCGAACAAAGTAGAATAGAGCGCGGCTAGCGCTAAGTAGATTGCGGCGCAGCGCTGTGCCGGTGATTGTTGATTGTGGCGAACGGCATGTCACATGGCATCGGATCAAACCAATCAACCAGCCAAGCGATAGTAGTTGTCGAGCAACAACAACAACAACAACACTGTGTAGCAGCATTGTGACAGCAAAGTTATTGCAACACAAACCGTCATGGCGCAGCAGCGGCGGTTTTAGTTGCGGCGGCAACATACCACAGCAGGCATTGCAACAATATGTAGCAACGACAAGAACAACAACAACAACAACAGCTCATAGACGATTTTAGTTAATGTGGTCATTGTACTGTGTGCTTTTCACCCCAAACAGATGCCATACTGCTACGCCAAGCATCATTGGMAACAGCAACAACAACGACAACAACAACAGCAACAGCAACACGCACTAACAAGCAATTGTGGCGACAATGCGACATCGGCAATCAATTTGTGCCGACTACGGGAAATTCAATCTGCGAATCGGCAATTGTTGCTGGCTTTCGATTAGTGTGTGTGTGTGTGTGTGTGTGTAGATACTTGGAGACTCAATCAAATGCAAAAATGCGGTTGAGTGTCACGTACATATGTATGTATTTGTGTGTTGCTACCGATGTGTTACTGCTACAATGACGGTGGTGCTACTTGTTGTTGTTGTTTATTCTTTTTTGTGCTTTCGATTTTGCATGCAAATGCGTTGTGCGGCGGCGCAGTCAGTCTTGTGTTAACTATGCAGCCGCAAATATTGGTCAGGTAATTGAAAAAACTGCAACAACAACAAAAACAAAAACAACAACAACGAGCACATACGAACACGCATAAAAATAGTTTAGTAGTGATTACCGTGTTACGCTGTGGCAATTGCGGCTGCGGATACGGTGCTGACGGCGGTGAGGTGGTGAATTTTTCAATTAGTTTAATATTGTGTTACATGTGCCACACCAAATGATGTTCGAAATGCGTGTACATACATATCTAAAAGCGAATCTATTTATCATATTTTAATTTAAGACGAGGGATTATGATATAATTCKGTGATTGCATTGTGAATTTGAAATGCAATTTACTTGCTTCTTGGCAGCTAACCAAATTTAGGTTTGCAAAAAGAACCTGATCTGCAATGAATTGTATAAACTCCCCACTATTGATGATGACCACAGCAAGTGTTGTGGGTAATGTCCGGTTCCTAATTTGGGAAGGTGCCGCTACCCGGCTGGTTGATGTCCTCATAAAAGTAAAGACAGACACTACTACCATCCAAGAAATGCGCTGGATGGGACAAGAGTGGAAACGAGTAGGTCTTTACTACAGCAGCTTCATAAAGGCGCCCAAATTCAGTATTGGCTTCGTGAGATGTCATCGAGCCCTGGTATTCACTCCGGTGGATGAGCGTCTAGCCTTAATCCGCATCAAAGATAAATTTTTCAACATACAACTGATTTGCCTCGATAAAAGAGAAGAACCAAGACTCAAGATGGCTTTTATGAGAGGCTGAAGTGCGCTTATGACAACCGCTGCGCTACCATGCGTAAATTGGGATTTTGGCGATTTTAATGCTAGGGTGAGCAAATAAGGCAAAGGCACAACAAATGGAAAATCCAGCTTCCATGGCGAAACCACTCTAAATAGCTCCAGGCTGATCGAATTCGAAATATGGTTGTCTAAATTCCTGCACAAGAAAATTCATCAAGTTAGTTAGCTGCCTCGGGAYCGAAAAGCTACCAACCAGATCGGTTATGTTCTTATAGACGAAAGACACGTATGCAGTGTTTTAGACGTTCGTAAGCTGATACGACCTGATATCAACACGGACAACCATCTTGTTGTAGCAACGAAACGAGTCCTTCCTCTCCTGCGCAGCAAAGCACTCCCGCCAAAAAACATAAATACAATTCGACGTCGAGAAACTATAATCACAACCGAGAGCTGGACGGTTTCTACTCGACTTGCACTGCTAGTGTCTGAGAGCACTCATCAGCAATTCGGTAAATGGGAACTAAGGGAAAGCATTTCAAGCTATAGCAAACGGGACCTCTAGTTTTCGAAAAACAAAAGAACAGCTGGTTTGGCCTTGTCGCAGCGAAGAGAAAACAGACTACTTACCTCGCAACGTTACGATCAGCCACAACACACGCCGGATGGGAAAGATGTCGATAGTTGAAGAGGGAATCGAGACGCATTTGCGGATAAAAAAGACAGAGGCCGAAAACGTGAGTTCGATAAGTTTGAACAGCTGGCCAAAAGGGGTAATGCTCGACTAACAGAAGGTTTCAAGACCGGCGCATACTCCTGATCTAGTGACTTATGTCCAGAGCATATTGAAGTTATGGAGGGAATACTGCTTCAGTAYGCTAAACGGCAGTGGAGATGGCGAACGCCCACTTCACAAAAATTGATAAGTCTCTTTAATATCGCATATAAGATGTTATCGAGCGTGGTGAGCGAAAAATTGAAGCTCAACGTCAACAAATTGATTGAACTTTGTCAGTGTGCCTTAAGCGGGGAAAATCTATTACAGACCAAATATTTATCATATACCAAACCCTGTAAAAATCGGCGAAAAGAGGGTCGACATACAGCACCTCCTCGCCGATTTAAAAGCCGCCTTCTTCCAGCACCAAAAGGACCTACCTCTATGCCGCTATGTCTGAACTTAGTATTCCCAGAAAACTACGTTGAGCAACACCAAAAGCTTCGGCAAAACAGAAAGGTATAAATCTGTTTGTGAACGAGAACAAGACGAAATATCTCCTGTCATCAAACAAACAGTTACCGCATTCGCAACTTAACTCGCGTGTCACCATTGACTATCATAACTTCAATGTTGGACATAATTTCGTATATCTTGGAACCAGCTTCAACATCAACAACAATATCAGCCCTATTTTTGCAACTGTTTTCATTCGTTGAAAATCTTCGAGATACCGAGATGAAATTCAAAAATTTTTAAGTATAATTTTAATACAAACTTCGCCAAATAGTAAAAGAATGTCAGGTATTACCATCGACAGGTTCGCATATCAAGCATCCCTATCTCATTATACCCATATGTCATCACAAGTTGAACTTTAAAAATATATCCATACCCACTTTTGTAATAATTGTAAAATCAATTTTTGCTAYTTACCTCTGCATGGTCCCGGATATGCAACGGCAATGGACCGACCACTTTTGCAAATCATTCGGTTTATATCACAAACACTACGRTATGTCTTTCCATCGACACCGCAGACGGCGCGCGATGGGTCGATTGGCAACGCTGCAGTGGCGGCCGCATCATCTTCGGGGCAATCAATTTTACAAGCAATACAGTGGGGTATTGTGTATTGATCTTCAACACATGTGTGACCGTTGAGGCATTTCACGCCGTTGCACGAAGCTGAGAAATAGAAATGAAAATTTTATTTTTTTTTTAAATGACCAAATTTTAAAACTTAAAGTCAAAATATATATTTAGTTCGATAGTTTATTAAGACTATACTGACAATACATAGATACAGAATAAACTGAACTCATAGATAAACTGAAAATAATAACGGTTTGACGAGATAACCATTGATTGGCTAATTTTAGTTTTATTATTCAACGTCTYTTGCGAGCGCCATTCGTTCATCGTTGGGCCGTTTCGACGTMRTATTCATAAACCCAYCTCTTCTCCCCAGTAATTGAGTGTGTCGTAAATGTAAGATCCTCAGCTAGGTTGTCAAACTTCTCTTTTGCGACCTCTATTTTTTCGTCGTTTTCCAAAATATTCGGGTATTTTTATACGAATCTAGCATTTGCATGCTTTATAACCAAAACTCTAATCAAATATCAGCGCGATTTGTTAACCAGTTTGCTTACAGCAGATGCTTGAATCGATACATCTTAGTAGCGCATTGCGATTTTTACAATAGATAAAAATATCGAACAAAGAATTTCTCTAAAATTTTGTAATTCTCATCAAATTTCGTGTGCGGAATCGTTGCGAATATTGAAAAAGACKTATGGTGATTATGTTTTATCAAAACCACAAGCCTAGGGGTGGTACAAAGCCTTCAAAGACGGTCGAGAGATCGTTAAAGACATGCTTCGTTCTGGACGACCTTCGACCTTTTCAAAATCATGTTAGAGAAATGACAAGAAAGCTCGTCAATTCTCGCCAGTCCGTTCGAATGATTTTGGTGAATATTTTGAGTATGAAACGCGTTCTTGCTCGCCTCATCCAGATAAAGTAGAATATTTTTTATTTAAGTTGCCGTAAAAGGTATAGGAATTGAGAGAAAAAACGAGCTGGAACCAAAAAAAAAAAACACCAAAAAATTGCTGAAAAGTCTAGATGATGCTATTTTTTTGGAATTTTGTGGTTTGGTGCAGCATGAATTTATTTCAGAGGAACAGATGAGTTCWATTTGGCCGTATTGAGATGTTTGCGTGAGAATATTTGTCGAAAACGTCTCGAATTGTGGAAGAATAATTTATCGATTTTACGCGATGATAATGAACCATCCCATCGAGCCACGATTGTTACCGAATTTAAAGCAAAAAACGCAATGAATGAATTCAACGATCCAAACTCCATAAATTGCCGCTCCGTTAATYTCGTTTTCAGTCGATCGAAGACAATCGAGGGCAACACTAACTTSCCAATTTTCGTGACAAGTCTCGAGGAGTCCAGACATTCCTTCACAAGGTTAATAACGCTAACGCTAACGGTAAAATTCAGACCCAACTAAAATTCTCAGGCCTTCGGGCTCAAATAAAATTTTTTAGCAACTCTAAGTGCTCTAAACAACTGAGTTAGTTTGGTCGACTTACGAAAATATTTGAATGCGATATGCAACCAACTGCTGTTTCAGCAGCAAYAAATTGCGCTTGAAAGTGAGTTCTAAAAATAGGCACACAGGTTTTGCTTTTAATTTGTTTTGCCATGCTTAACCAGCCATCGAACCAAATTGAATCATATTACAACAACATTAGCGCCAATTGAATGCAGATGGCGAATAGTTAACAAACAATAGCAACATGAACAACTAGTATAACCAGCGAATCACTCGTTTGCAACTAATAAACTGTCAAATTTATCATTGAACATTGCAGCGAAGCGGCAACGCCTTGGCGCCATCTGTGACACCAACAAAATTGCAATATAATTTTTCATGAAATTATTTTACGCATCGCAGACGACSGACCAGCGACGAGCGGACGACGACCACGGACGGACGTTCGACAAGCCACAAGTGGCRAACGCGATTTGTTGTTGCAATCTTTGGCCGATTTCTGTTGCCAGTTGGTCGATTGGTCGAGCTGGCGACAGTGTGCACAAGCAGTGTTGTTGGTGTTGTTGTTCATGTTGCAGCTGATGTGTTTTATTTTGGCCATGGCTCGTGGCAATAGTCAGCGTCAGCGTCAGCGTCATTAGTTGTGGCGGCAATAATAATAACAGCAACAACAATAGCAAAATTAGCCAACTGTTGCTTGCTCTGTTGTTATTGGCGTTGTTAAATTGTTGCTGCAGCATTTTAGGCACGCGTTAAATGCAGCTTGCATTTGCTGTTGCCATCGTAAATAGACGGTTGCCAAGCGCTTGAAACGCCTTGCATCGCTTTCAGATTCAATCAGAGTGCAACAAGTATTTTGCCATCGGAAAATTACAGACTCGACTCGGATTATCTTTATTACCGATATGAGCGCACTCTGGCCGTCGTCCGGATGGCTTCCTGCTGCATAAACATATGCAAATGCATGGCCAGATAGCCGAGCAGGCAACGATTACCGGCACTAACGCACACACACACACACACACAAAATATTTTTTGTTGCTTTTTTGTATTTTTATGTAATCAACGACGATATTTAGTTATAACCTCTTTTTTCTTTTGACTCATAGCAGCTTTGGCACGATATCAAGTGTTAATGTCAAGTGTATGGCCAAAGCATGTCTCACACTTCGTGCGTCGCCGATCGTAAACGATTTATGTATGTGGTAAGTACATATTGTATATAGATAAATAAATAAGAATTAAACGATCAATTAAAAAGTCTACGGCCTACTATTTTTGACAAAATTCGTTTTTTTGTCATTCAAAACAGTTCCCTTCACCGATTATAGCGACCCTCCGTCTTTTCGATACCATTTTTGTAGTACGAATTATCCTTTGCTTCAAAATAGAGTGAGAGGAAAGGGATGTCAGGTCTATAGGTTTATCGAGGCATGCAAAGAGGTGCTTAGAGTCATGCGAGGACTCATTGCATGCATATTTTTTATATCGGGTCAGATTCTGGATGAGTAGGAGTTTAGTCGACAACTCGAGCTCGTCGTATGCAATGGGTAGTRRTTTGACTCCAAGTACGYCATTCACTGCAGCCCTCTCAGTGAAAAGTCCACGGTGAAGATGTTTATKGTTCCATTGTGAATGGCGGTTACTGCGAAAATACCCCAGCAGAGTTCATTATGCTCCTTAACTGAGAGCGTATACCTACAATTATTTTTGAAATAGTGGCAGTGCCATAACCCAGAATTCAAATGAAGCAAAAAAAATCTTGTGATTGATTTTTATTATGGGTTATTATTATTGTATTTAAATTGCTCATATTCAAGCTTAAAAGACATATAATTTCTTTAAAGAATAAGATAAAGTTCTTCTTTAAAGAAATAAAAAAGTTTGTAAATGAAAATTTCAGCTGTGATTAATAATAGCAGTATTGACGATTTTACATCAAAAACCAATTAATTCACTATAAAAATATAAACTAAAGTTTAAACAATTAATATTTCGTCGAATGATCGTTGTTGGATAACACAGCTGTGCATCTCCTAGGCATGGTGTTCACCAAACGCTTGTATTTCAYGAGAGGAGTGGCCTTCCAAGCCTTCTTCACAGCACTCCATAATTGCTTCGTATTTGACGGATTCTGTTTCCCTATAGCTTCTCTCACCTCTTCCCAAAGATTCTCAATTGGATTAAGGTGACTGAGCCGGCCAACCCATAACCTCAACTCCACTTAGAGCAAACTAATTTTTTGTCAACCTGCTGGTATGTTTGGGGTCGTTATCTTGTTGATAGACCCATTTCAACGGTATTTTYCATTCAGCGTGTGGTGGCATAGTCGACTGTATTGTTGAGGCCATGAACTATCTGTGTTGGTGCTGTGCACTAAACGAAAGCCATGCTGGTGGGTTGCTAGACTACTACGACTGCCGGTTCTACGTTTCCGGAATTAACCCGGATTTTATCCAGTCCGAATTGACGGTTGGAAGGTTTTGTTACGTGTTTGCTATAATAGTCAGAGAGCTATCTTCTATGAGCCGCTTGCTTACGGCCAAACTCTTATTTCGTATCTGTGTTGAATACAATTGGATCCTTTAAAGGAAGYAGTCACCCAGAATGTCATCCTTAGAGAAATTACGGGGTTYTCTTCCTAGCAAGATAGGGTTCGAAACCAATAAAGCAAAGTCAAAAGTTTGACATACCCAGAGCAATGGAACTCGTGTAACAAATCTCTCTATTAGAGTATAACGCTAGCCTTGAGTAATAACTGTTATGCGCGAACTTCAAATGTTTAATTTTTGGTGATAAAGGCGAGGAAAACTGTGATGCTTAGTCTCAATCGAATCATTAGTATAAACTCGGTACGAATACATTTTTCCGATAAATTATTAAACAGTATCTTGTTTTGTAATAACCAAAAATGATACTCACTGCGACAATGACCGCGATATGCCACAGCCAGCGTTGGATTATTGGTGCGGCAGGCGCGTTTCTTCAATTGACATTCCGTGTTGTAAGTGCGACCATCTGTGCCGCAAACCGGATGTGGGCCATGGAAATTTTCTACCTATTGAAAACATGTTCGAAAATTATAAATAATTCAATTATTTAGAATACATTTTTTGTAATACTGATGCATATAAAACTAATGATAAACTTAGAATAAATATTCAATCCTTTTTTGTATTTCAATGAAATCGAAAATGATCATTCGTAAGCTCTCGAAATACGTTCATTTTAATTGGAGCTGTCATATTACTAACTATGAGGTTTATTAGGCGTAWTATTTACATGGGTTACACTAAAGAGAGTAGAGGTATTTTTCAGTACAGCCGTAAATGAGAGTGTACAAGAAAAAAGTGGAAAGTCGATTCGGCGTTGTTCGCAGCAACTTGGACCGTCGCTCCAACGACTAGGCGCATTTTACGTCGAGATTTTAAATTGAAAGCGTACAAAATATAGCTTGTGCAAGAACTGAAGCCGCTCGCTCTTCCCAAACGACATCGTTTTGATCTATGGGCTCTTTAAAAGTTCCAAGAAGATGCGACTTTTTCAAGCCAAATTTTTTTCAGCGATGAGGTCTATTTCTGACTCAATGGGTATGTAAACGAACAAAATTTCCGCATTTGGGACGAAGAGCAACCAGAAAAGAGCTACCATTTCATCCAGAAAAAATAGCGGCTTGGTGTGGTTTGTGGGACGGTCGAATCATCGGTACATATTTCTTCAAAAGGGATGTCGGTGAGAACGTAACCGTTAATGTTGACCGTTATCGCGCCATGGTAATCCACTATTTGATGCATGAAATTGAAGCTCGTAATCTCGSCCACATTGGGTTTCAACTATATGGCGCCATTTCCCACACATCGCATCAATCATTCGCTTTTTAAGAGAACTCTTCGGTGAGCAGATAATTTTACCTTTTGGGCTGGACCATTGGCTACCAAGATCGTGTTACGCTAGACTTTTTCCTGCAGGGAATTGTAATGTTACCAGTCCAAATGCTCGAACGCGTCATCGAAAATTGGACTCAACGGATGGACCATCTGAGACACGGCCAATATTTGAATGAGGTAATCTTCAAAACATTCTTTGATCCTTCGAATGATAATTARCCTCYCCATTAAATTTGAGGTTTCTGTGTTTTTTATTKAAAGACRATTATTTATTTAGAGAACCTCATGTTCGAACGCGGCGAGGCTAATTATTTCATGACGCTATTTGCCAAAGATTTATGGCGGAAAGGAAAGTGGAATCATTTTGTGAAATTGGAAATGTATTTTTTCCATCTCATTTCATTTCAAAATAATYCCTTCCCGCTGCAATACACTTATGCCAACGAATTTCCCAGYCATCATAKCACTTGGAAAAATCCTCTGTCATGATGGCTATCAGAGCTTTCTTCGATTCAGCTTCAAAGTGGTCATGTCAGTTTGCTGAATACCCAGAAGTTACACGAAAATGTGGCGAAATAATCGCACTTCTTTGCTTAATAAATTCAGAGGTAGTAAAAGTYGAAGAACTCAATTTGAGAGCTTCAAAAAATTACGCCTATCTCTAACGCGAGCATAAATTAAAAACTCATCTTACAATTTGATTGCTGGTATACTGTATATAACTCATACACTTAGAGACACGTAAATTTTAATAGAAAAATTAAAACCATTATGTATAGTATATGGAGGATCGGGTCGATACTATACCCGATTTTATCTTTTTCCCCAATACCACTTACTATTAACATGCCACATACTAAAAACCAAACATATAGAGTAAAGTCAGCCGGAATTTCGAAAATCCTGATATTAGCTATATAGGGACTATGTCAAGTTTTTGCCCAATTTTAGCTATTTTTGACAAAAAAGATACATTATTATGAGTAAAACACGCTCTCTCTTTTTCGTTGAGATAACTCACATATTGGCCGACATAGTCACCTGGAAGTTCGAAAATCTTTATATTATACGTATAATATTAGGTTTATGGGGGTTAAAAAAGTATTGGTCCGATTCAGTCCATTTTTGACATGCAACGATTTCGTCCATTTTCGTACCGTGATATAMRAATATAAGGAGAATRYCAYGTACCAMATTCTGTCGTAATCGGTTWATCCCGWKGGCGGTACCACGCTCATCRTTGGAGGTAAAAYTCAATGTATTGCGCGCTTCCGATTTCATTCATTTTCACACTGTTGGTAGAAGTTCTTGCAATATTCCAGATTTGCAAAATCGGTTATTGTAGCTTAACTGGTTTAGGAGATAAGGTGAAGCCACGCCCACTTTTTCAACATTTTTTATTCGCAGGTGCCCTTGCTATTGCGATCCCTGCGTCAAATTATTGGATATTTCAATTTTTATTCAAGTTACAGGTTGCACGGACGGACGGACGGACAGACAGACAGTCACTCGGATTATAAACCTGATATAAACCTGTATCTAGGCGATTAGTTTTACGTGATATGTACACCCGTTAGGCGAATAAAACTATAATAWTCTGTAGCAACTGGTTGCAAGAGCAAAAAAGGAGGTTTAGAAGGTTTGTTACATTAGAATTTCTATGGGTAGTAGCGGATTCAGATTTTTTTTCTGGGGGGAGGGTATTTGCCATCCAACATATTTTGTATATTGCTGTTATTTCGTAAATTCTTCCGAATTTGATTTAAAGTTTCCGATTTTGGAGAGGGTTTTCGTAACCAAACCGCCTAGTGGATCCCCCATATAATTAARTTCCTCTCGATGGTCTTGATCAGAAACGATTGAACAATTGACTAGGACGCAAAAAGCTCTATCGATACTTTTAAATTTTGGCTGGAAGTGGTAAAATCATATAGATCGAGATAAAGGCACAGCCATTTTACCAAAGCAAAGATTTTTAATGCTGGCATCTTTCAAAAGAACACTCTTTTTAATCGACGCCACTTATCACAGTGCAATTAAAATACAAACTTACGGAGTTAACGAAATTAAGCAAGGAACTACAACATTGTAGCCGCAACTAAAAATCCATTAGAGAACCAAATACAAAAATAATAAGAGGAAAAGGAGAWGTAAAGATTCACGTGAAACTCACCGCTACTTCAAATTGGCGATTCGGGAATCCGTAGACATTGAAATCATCGTATATGCCATCAAGTAGTGTCGAGTCATCTGAATTAAGAGATGATTTGCCAACGTCAGCGGCAACACCTCCATCGCCGGCAGCAACAGCATYAGCACCGAAAAACGCCTCAGACGATGCGCCGATTTTTTGCTTTTTCACTGCCGACGACGGCGATGATTTTGCAATATGACTTCCGTGATTTAATAAACGACGATCATCAGATGGCGACATGGAATTTACGGGAGTGGTAGCAGCTGTTGTCTGCCACTCCATTGTTGTKGATACTATGGGCGTTTGTGTTGATGTTRTTGTTGTTGTTGCTGCCGCCGTTACCATCGGTATGTTATCGCTGTGCGCGGCCAACGAGGATGTTGCAGACGAGGTGCGCGTGCGCACATTGTTGTCATTGTTGTTAGCATTGTGATCCTTTAGCTTCTTGTGCTTTTTATGTGAGCGGTGATTGTGCTGATGGCTAGTCTGATGTTGTTGTTGTAGTTGCTGTTGTTGTTGTTGTTGTTGTTGCTTCTGATGTTTGCGTTTACGTTGCTGATGGTGATGACGTTCACGTTGTCTGCCGCCGTCAATATTGTGCTTACCTTTGCCTTTATTGCCGTTGTGGTTGTTATTGCTGTTGTCGTTGCCGTTGCCGTTGCCGTTGCTGGCGCTATTAACATTCACCGTATCGCCTGCTGGCGGCAACACCTCCTCGTGATCTGGAGCGTTCTCGACCCGTCTGGCATTTGATGCGCTGGTTGCTGCTGCCGGTTGAAAACGTTTTATTATGGCGAAATTGTTGTTGTTGCTATTCTCCTGCTGRCGCTTGCTGAGCTCCATTTCATTTTCATGTTGTCTTCGTTTCTTGTTGTGATTTGAATTTTTATTTGCCTTATGTCTAGACAGCAAATGGTAGGTTCTTCGTGACTCCAACGGTGGTGTTCTTGTTGAATCATCGCTACTACGCCGATGATTGCCCGTCGATTCTGCGCCAACGACGTCACCCAACCAATCATCATCGTCGTCATTTTTCGCAACAGCAAAAGCATCGTCATCATCATCATCATCGTTGTCCTCGTCGTTGTCGTCTTCGTTAGTTTCGTCATCATTCTCTTTGTCGTTGAATTCATCATCGAAAGCGTCGCGACTAAAGTGGTTGTGATGTTTTCGGTTATTCATTCTTACATTACTAATAATCTGTATACGCTGCTGGACGGGTTTCTCTGTGTCATGTTCGACAYTGGCCGTTATTAAAAGTCTTCCCGGTTTCTCTACACGTCTACTTAACTGAGGCTTCTGTTGGCTTTGACTTTGCATTATAATCAGTTTTCTTTGGTTTTGATTTTGATTTTGATTTTGTATTTGCATTTGCATTTGGTGTTCAACACCTAAATTAACATTTGTAATTTCGCTACTTAAACTACGTATGTCGCGCGGCGACTTGCCTTCGTTGAAGAATGCCGCAGCGTTGTCGCCTTCAACGGCTTCTTCACCCCCAGCACCGGCATCGAATGCGCCAGCGATGATATGCCTATTCATTCGCAACTGCTCGTTATGTGGTTCGTGTCCACGATAAATCTTCGCTTGGCCCCGTTGCTTGTGTCGCTTGGCCGCTCCACACTCCGGTGCGCAGACACATTTCGGACGGCCCTTGCGCTTGACACACTTCTTATTCCAACTGCATTGCATGCTCTTGCAACTAACTACGTTTGTAGGAAACGRTAAAAAAGGGATACAGTTTTTGCATAGTTATAGAATAATATAATAAAACGAATATGTGTAGACCTAAGTAGGATAATACTCTGAGAAAAACTCTTATAGAGCTTAGTTACTTACGCGCACAAGGTGAGCAWGTCATGCCATCACCAACGGTTGTYGTGAAGAAGAACTCTACATCGGTGACATCACGATCCGTATAGAAAAGTTCCGGATAGCGGCAACACTCGGCTTTGGTGCTGTTCCTCAAGTAAATCTCGCTGCATTTGCCATTACTTTGTGAYGAACGCCAGCAGGCGCCGGCTGTAAGGAGGAATAAGAACGATATAGTATTAGGAGCTTAAGCCAAGGAATGACAAGAGAATAAGAAAAATAACAAGTATATCAGGGTTAAGGTCGGGTGCAACAGAACATTTCATACTCTTGCAACTTGTCAGGATCAAAGCTGCWAAAATACCTTCAGSTGTTGACAATTGATTTTAAAAATCTTGCGAAAGTGCTYAATATTTATTGTTCGACGAAACCGTGTATGTGTTACAATAAAATTTGTACCTTATCAACTTGTATTATAGATCACAGGCTAAATTAATGTAATAACTATATTTCACATCCTTTCAACGAAGATTAGCTTAAAGACAACCTTAATTAAGACATATATGACAAAAAGCCCATAGAAGAGGTTTAATTTAGTATTTCGAGATGATATGCAAAATATCAACCAGAGGATCAGAATTTATTATATTAAGAATATGAGKTTTGTACCGAGGTTTAAACTAATTTCATTCATATTAAGCTTTAAAAACATATTTTTTCCTTTCACTAAAAGAGCACCGATATTGACCAACCCAAACAGTTTAACGAAAGATGGGTAGTCAGAAACCACTATATAGAATATATTGCGTGCAGAAGCCTCTTCCATTGCTGTCCATTGCCTTAACAAAATTCCTTCATTAAATCCAATTTAATATGCACAGGTGGTAGTAATACCGTTTTGGGTTCACTGGTAATGTTTTCTTTTTTTTTTTTTTTTTTGTCGCGGAGGAGTGTCTGACTATCCTATTCGCAAAAGAAGCAACAATATTTCGTATGTATATCCTAGTTGCACTTCAAGATGAAAGCCTATTACTTGGAGGTCTCCACATATTGCCCAACCATACTCATGATAACGGATGTGCTCGAAAAGAACTCTCATATTCCCACATGATTACTTCATATAAACCACATGAGCTAAGGGCACAGATGGATATCTGTTACCGTTATGAATCAATACCTTTAAACTAAGTTTAGAGGAATCAATGAATATATGCCCATCACGTGTATCATGTTTCTGTCCTAGTGCGTTAAACAAAAAGTTAACTTCGGAACAGTATTCTAGATCTTCACCTTGAAGAAAGCAATTTGTGASRTCTTTCTGTAAAAAGTAATACATCACTTTAGAGAMATTTTCAACGTTTTAGTTTGGATGCTACAAGTACGGACTGGGATTTTGAATGGCTTAGATCTCAAACTAAGTCATTAGTTCACCCTGTGAAATTAAATGCGGCACTGTGAACATCCTGGTCAAATAAAATAAAGGACCGGTTGTCATTTCCATTGCGGTTTCTGTAACATCACTTGAAGAGCTAGTCGATTCTAGTTCTTCATTGAGACTCCGCGATTCTGGCTCTTTTGGAATACCAAGTTGTTCACTATGTTTGACAGGTTTAAAGTTGATGGTAAATTACACTACTTAACCGTACTTGAACAATCCGATTTTAACAATTTTTAGGCCAGAGGTGCCATAGTTTAAAGAACTAATCATGCAAAGTTTTATTCCGTTATATTAATTGGTGCTTTMTTTGTACGCYGAATGTGAAAGAATCAGATGAARTTAAAAATTATATTATGTGGGACCACGCTACGGTTGTAGTCCGATTTCGCTCATCGTTCACATAGAGTGTGTGTGTTGAAATTCACGACAAGCGCAATTTTTATTGCACTAGACCGAATTTTTTCAGAAAAAAAATCTGCTTCATTTCAATGAGATGTTTTTCAGATTAACTAGATATAAAGTCCGCCGTAATCCCTATGGGTCGAGTTCGACCATATTTGGATAAGATGTGGCATACTTTGTGCTGTCAACGTTTATGACGGAATTTAATATTATATTATAGAAAAGAAAGTATAGTTCTAATTCGATTTCAAATTGGATGTCAAGACCATGTTGAAATTGGTCGAGTCGTTACTGAGTCATGTAATTTCGCCTAAAAGTGGTCATTGCCATGCTCATTGTTCATTTACTATTCTATCTTTACCATTAAATTGAAGGCTGCTGTTATGATTAGAGAGTTATCTCACTTTTAGATTTGCGTTTAACTTTTTTGGTTTAGGATGGGTGTAACTTTTATGCGATTTTTCATCTGAAAACCAGTCATCTAAAAGAAAATAATACTATCTCATGTAAMTCGATTCATTTTAGCAGTTAAAAACAATTGTAATATTGGATCAACTATATATTTGTAACAATTTGAGGGTGTGTAAAAATATGGTGGCAAACAAACCGTTTACTCGGGAAACAATCGTACTTCCGGTGCGCAAATGTCGTCATATTCAGTGTCGTGCTCTCCATTCAAGTGTGAGATATGTGCTCATAAGMGGTAGATMYAAAAATAAAGACAATAATAAAGCAACAACYAATTGATTCATAAATATCAATAAACAAATCACTTATGGATTTTGCAGTCGAAGAAGTCGCCGGGGCGCTTGGCGAGCGTAAACAAGCGTGCATGCGCGGTCATTAATTCCCACGCGCGACTGCCATTCATCTCGCRGAAACTCACAGAGTGCAGAAGTAGACGCTATAAATATGCAAATGCTAAATATACGCAACAAATCTGTATACACACACAGCCAAACAAAAGTATTAGCTTGATAATTTATTAACAAGCGATTCAGGAACATTTCGATTGCGTTGGCCGTAAATGGAATTTGCCTATGCTTCAAATCGACACGTTTATCCATAAAGCCTCTTTTCTATTGCTATTTCTATTTCTATCCTCATTCATTTGTTTATGTCTGCCGATTTTTATGAGGTAAATTTATTTTGTAAGCGATTTGTTTGTTTTGGATTTCTCGGAATCAACAAATTTTTGACTGGATGATTGGATTTGATACTATTCTTCAATGATTCTTTTTTCCCACAGCTATTAAGAGCGGATGARTGTTTTACCTTTTACCTAAGGAGTCGCTATCATTGATGAATTCGGATTTAGTGCCAAGGAACTAGCAGTAATGATAGTTGTTTTTGTATGCCGCCGAAATCAGTGTCAAGTTTGTAAATAAAGGAAACATAATGCGGCTATTGAGATTGTAAAGGGGTTTTTTTTAAGACATCTTATTATTTAATGTGATGACGATAAGGCTTTATCATTAAAAGTTCTATTTTTACGATTTCACCAAGACTGCATATAGTATTGTAATTCCCATCTTCACGATCAGCCATCCAATATAACCTAATCAAATCTAGATTAGTTTGACAGAATCGCGACCAAGAGCAATCTAAAATTAAGCATAAAGGATTTGCCACTAGTATGTTTTAAAAACGATTTCGGACAAGTAACCGAATAAATTCTAGCCACGAGCCCAATTTGACCACATTTGTCGCATGTGGGAACGCAACGAATATTCGAATTCTCGGGATTATCTGCTTAGAGTAACCACAAATTAATTCAGCGGTGTTAACAAAGCACGATCTTGGAACCGACGGTCCCGCGTTGCGAGATAATGCGCTCAACTTTCGTTGATTGTATGGCATATTACTCTTACTGGAACCAAAGTCATCCACATCGATATTCTCCCATTTTGGCATGAACCATGAACCAGAATCGATGGCTATATAACGCTCTTCATTGAAGAAAAGAAGTCAAAGCTTCATGAAGAATAACAAGAACTCTCTGTAAACTTTCAGACTTCCTGACTACTTTTTTTCAAGCTAAGGTTTCTACCATCTACGAAATATCTCTTGTCTTCAAACAAACAGTGTCGCAATCGCAACTTGGCTCTCACAGCACATTTKATAGTCATAACTTCGAAGTCGATGATAATTTCGTCTATATTGGAACTAGCGTTAACAACAACAGCAATGTCAGTCACGAACTCCAACGCAGAATAACTTTTGCCAACAGATGCTACTTCAGACTAAGTAGGCAATTGTGAAGTAAAATCCTCTCTCGACGAACAAAGACCAAACTCAACAAGTCGCTCGTAATTCCCAATATCTTATGAGTCGGCGTTACGACTTTTCGATTTGTGGTCCATTGCACATTGGCAACGGTGAATACCACAGTCGAGGGAACAATGAGTTTTACGAAATATATGACGAATATATTTCTATCATTATGGTAGCGATAGATCTTCTGTTCCCAAGTGCAGCTTTCTTCAGAGAGAATAACCAATCTGAAAGCACTGTGCATTCAAGGCTGGTTAAGGAATSCCTAATCTCGTTATGAATKRCATTGAGTAACTTTGTGATGATACTAGTGGGGGTGCCAGGAAAAAGCGGAATCATTGGTAATTGCAAAGCTGATGAGCTTTAGCCCAGCTATCAATGGAATTGGAATGGTGTGTGTTCTGTTTTTCTACGTTCGCGAAATCAAAGCTTAAATACTTGGGAGCTCAAAATTTTAGACATCTCACTGAGGGGATGCAAATAGAAATTAAACGCGTAAGCGCCTAACGCTTAATGCGGTTTGCTGATTTATTAGATCAGATATACGAGTTCTACTTTTATGATTTCACATATAGTAGTGCGATTCCCAAATGCGACGATCTTGACGATCAGGCAACGAACCTAACCCAAGCTAACTTGTGTTGTACGTGCGAATCCCAACAGAGAACATACATATATAAAATTGCAGAAGTCGTTTATGTTAGTGGACATCRTCAAGTAATGATAATATTCGGAAATTATTGCGGGCATACACTTCTTATAAAAATAWTTCGGCATTCGTAAGCTGACCAATACGTGCAGGACACTACAAGCTCAGAAGAGTATAGCCTGTGCATCATTATAATGCTTATAGAATCTCTCATTATAAGTAATAGAAATGGAAATCAGCGAATTGACACTACTTCCCTCGGGACTTCCCGCATACTGCAAAGACAAAACAAAAATTCTGAGTATCTTCGGACGAATTTGAACCCATGACTCTTCGGGAAATACTCACGCTCATAATCGCTTATACCCGACCGACGTTTATTCCTTGTAAAACGAACTAATTTACTTGAATTGAATAGTCAATAAAATACGCGTCTCCATTCGTAGTTAACCCTTCCTTACCCGGTCTAATATCGTTTTCACACCTCTACATCAAATAACCATTTTGCTGTGGACTCGTTAAGGCATTTGTCTACATTTGTCTAAATGACATGACGGCTGGGAATCAGTTAGGACATCAATGTCACTCATTAAGATGTAACGTCACACACACACACACACACACACACATGCAAGCAGGCGCGTACGCGCTAACATGCCAATTACATGCATTCTCACACAACAACAATATCAACATTGATTACTCACCATCAACTAGAGGCGTCGCATTGAATGCCAATGCCATAAATAATATTGCCGCCAGTGTTGAGAGCACATTAAGGCGTCCATTCCCGGCACTKGCCGACGTTGTGTGCCACCGTTGCAGCATTGCTGTTGTTGCCGTTGCTTTTGTTGACAGCCGCGCGACCACCGGCGATAAATCTTGCCAATTGCTGTCACTGCAGCGACGACTGCTTTGATTACACGCCAAGCCGCTCACATATAAACAWTGCTGTTGTTGTTGCTGACGCGGCGCTAGCCGAGTTTGGCTGTTGTTGGCGTGTTGACGCATCTGTCTTTGCCTCCATTGATGGAGACGCTGCGCGATTTGGCATCGCCTGCTCGACACTTTATCATAATTTCGCCGTTGATGGCTCGTGTCATCAAAGCGTCCGCCGACGACTTGTCGTCGCTGCGTTAGCGCCACGCTGTCACTCGGGCGTCGGTCGTCGTCGCGCTCATGGYAAGGTGTGTGCRTCAGTAAATGGCCGACGCAAAAAATAAATAATTTAAATATTAATTTAATTTCACATGTAATACGTTTAGTGTTGATTATTTGATTAATTGCATTATTTAATGTATTTTTGGCATTARCGCAGCGGTCCTCTGCCCCCGCAATGGCAGCGCGACGCCGTGGTTGGCGCGGTCTTGGCGTTGCGTGCGTATGCGTCATGCTTGTGTGCMCTCTGCGTTTGTATTTGTAATTGGATTTGAGAAATGTTAGTGTGTGCGTTGTATTTGTTGTATTCTTAACGGATTTTGTAAACGCCGCGATTTCGCACATTTTCACTGATCCTTAATTTATGCGATTTTCGTGTGTTGGAGTTGGAGTAGAGAGTCTCTGTTAGTTTGAACTGCGCCGAAGCGCTGGTGCTTCAAAGTGGTTGTCTCATGATATTCACTGGAAAGAAAACAAAAGTAAAATTTATAAATATTGTKCGACTGCAAGCAAGCTTAGTTTTATAAAATTTAACATACTGTATGATACGGATGATGGACAAAGAAAGTATGCGGTAACGGTCGGAGTGCCACAAGGTTCTGTACTTGGCCCATTGCTATGGAACGTATTGTACCAACTACAGGTACAAATCACCGAGTACGCGATTACCACTAACTATAGTGGTAAAAGAACAACTTTAGAACCGCTGCAATCACGCGGCGACAACGATCAAAGAATGACTCACCGCAACAAATCTCCAACTCGCTCGGCAGAAAGCTGAAGATGTGCCGATCACAAGCAGAAACAAACTTAAAGGCATCAGACTAAACATCAACAAGTACCTAGAAAAAGGTATGTGAGAAAGCAGCTTGTGTAACAGCCGCTGTAGCAAGAATAATGACCAATATTGGTGGACCAAATCCAAAACGGCGAGCGCTATTGGCCAAGGTGAACCAAACAATTCCGATGTACGCTGAGCCCATATGTGGATCATCTATCCCAAAAACRGAGCGAAATTTACAAAGCGACTCAGTGTCATTGGGGTTACATGCGCATTTCGCACGATATCCCATGAAGCGGTTGAAGTTATAGTGGACATCAATTATCTAGAGATAATGGCCATGGAACTCAAAAGAGTATGCGAGGGGTCTACAATACTGTGCAGGCGTTTAATAGTGGAGGAGCGGAGACATGACAGGCAAAGAAGCCTCAATGCATGGCAAAAAACGATGGCATGTAACTACAAAGGGGAAGAGAGCCACACACTAATTAAAATTCTACAAGCATGGTTAGATAACAAGCATGGAGAAACAGATTTAAGCCTGTTTTTGACGGGCATAGGTGCTTTAAAGAGTATTTCCTGCCAGCGACATGAAAAGGAGAGAGCCGATCTAGAGAAATTGACTATGGACCGAGAGAGACACCGGATAACATAGTGCGGTTGATGACTGAATCGAAACTAGTATGGGATAGCATGAGAGCGTGGTGTGCTATAGTTTTGAAAGAGCTAAGAAGGAAAGAGTGACAACGCAGCGAAAACAGARGAATGAATGAGGAATAGGCCAGAATGGCGTGCTGGCGAGCCGAATGACAGTTCCGTGTGGCAAATAACAAGAACTGAAGATGAAACGTGTGAAAGAAGGACACCAGAAAAGGAAAAATACACCATACATTTTTTGATAAAGACGAAAAKGAAACCCAGGTGACTAAAACTGTAAAATGTAATATTTCTAATAAATAAGAATTTTGMTTTCATCAATTTCCTATCAATCTGATGTCGAATATGCACCACGCTTTGGGAGGCCAGTAGTCAAAAATATCGATTAAATAAGGCATTCGCAGATGACTCATAACAAACTTGATCTATTACTGATGATAAAAAAGGSATCACTTATCACAACGTCTAGCGAAAACGGTCGCGGTCCGTTCGCGGAATCCAGCGCAAACGGTGGCCAAATCGGAATGGAGACAAGAGACTCATCTACTATAAGCTGTTCTTCGACCAAACTGTTATTTCAGACCAATACTGTCAGCAATTGTATAGGCTAAAGGGAGAAATCATACAGAAGCTGCCAGTTAAGGCCAATGGGAGACGAATTGCGTTCCATGGGAACAACGCCAGGCCACACACACCGATAATGTCGCGCTAAAAGCTTCAAGCGCTTGGTTCGGAGGTGCTTTTGCATTTACCTTATAGGAAAGCGATGGCACTAAGTGGTTATCATGCTTTCTGCTTCTGTGCATGACGAACACTTTGTCTGGTGATATATTYGCCTGAAGCTAAACTTGTGAAAATCTACTGTCCTAGAGATGGGGCTTATATGAGAGTGGCATTAAGAAATTAGCTTAATTTAAATATTTTTGCATTTATTTTGGACCTAAATAACTAGAATCACTTGAAAATATCTAGATAAGAAACAAAAGTTTTCAGTCTTATATCAAACCGTTAAGAGTTTGACTACTCCAGAGCTAGGACGATTTTCTAAACGGCTTTTATTCGATGGCCGAGCTGGTAGCTGCATCGTGCAATGAGTAAATTTGGCGGTCGTACCAGACCAATAAATATCGGGAAGGTTTCATAAATTACCGGAATATTTTTTTTTTGATTCAAACACGATACCAACAAATTTAACAATAAGGAAATTTAATTTTTTCCAGCAACTTAATTGACCGATAAACGCGATTCGGAAAATGCTGGAATGAAATATTTGTAAATACTTATACACATACATATTTAAGCACATACACACGTATCTGTTATTAAACAAATACCACARGTTGGCATTGCGAATGCAATTTGACGGTGGCAGCCGCGCGGAGCYAGTGAAAGAAACGCGAAAGCAGTAAAATGTCTAAAACAAAAACAAAAAAAAAAAGCACATCGAAAAAGAAAATCGAAAATCCAAAGTCTGAATCATAACAAGTATGCATGCGGTATAGGCGTACACATGCTCGTCTGTATGTATGAGAGTTTGTGCACGCTGGTATGCATGCGCTTGAAACAGCCGAGTTAAAAATAGCAACAACGTGAGGCAAAAGTGCGCTCATTGGCGGCCGGCAGCATTTTTGGAATGCCATAAACCAAGCGTTCGCAATGCAAGCGAAATGAGGAGGCGAACAGACAACAGACAGAAAACGGACATGCTTAGCCGCGGCGGACGGAACCGCGAGCGCGTAGGAAGGGAGGCGATACAGGTAAGTCCAGACGCATGTGGGCTGACTGCTGCATACACAACCGAACATAGACACACACACACACACACACACATGTGTGACTAGCCAGCCAGTCAGCCAACTAGCTGGCTGTGGCCAACCAACCAATGTTTGTCTGCTCAACTGGTTGGCCTACGAATGACCATTGGCGCGTGCTCAAATGCGTTGGTGTTTGTTGACGACTCTACCTGCKTGTGCGTACGCTTGTGTGCACTCGGGCAATACCAGCCAAGCGTGTTGCTGCACTACGCTTTGCATTAATGCAATAATTTTCGGTATATTCCAAGAAAGCTGCTTGGCCAGCACGTTATCGTCGTCTTGCCGCAACTTATGGACATTACAACCGAACGACCGGCCAGTCGRCAGTATGCATACACGTCCGCCCGCTCGGCTGACCGTCGCAGTAGGTCGTTAATTGTTTACGAGGAAATGTAAAAGTGTGCATTTCAGCTTCATTATCAGAATCGAATGCGAGTGGCGCATTGCCTGATGACTGCCAGCCGGCTGTCTGACTGACTAGTTGACCGTTTTGCCGGCTAGCTGACTGGCTTGGATGGTTGGTTGCTTGGTTGCTTGGTTGGCTGATTGGCAGCAAGCAATGGTCGGCACAGCAGCTGCCGTCGTCGCCGTATCTGCGGTCATTCAGCCAAAACTAGTCAGCCAGCCAAGCAACCGGCCGGCCTTTGGACCGGTTGGCTTGGCCGTTCACTAGTCGCAAAATGTCTTGCGTTGGCGCGAAAAATGCAAACCTAACACAAATGAAAAAAAAAAACAAAAGCAAAATCAACAGAAGAAATGAAAAGCAAATGCATTACGCGCACTCATACTCACACATACACACGTACAGCTGCGTCTGTGTAGCTTTGTGCGTTTGCAGTTGATGACGTCTGTGCTGTAGTTATTTTTGTCACAAGCATTTACTATTTGTTATTGTTGCGTATGCAYGGCAGCGTGACTAGCAGCGCACGCACGTACGTATGCATATACACGCAACGTGCAACACGCACGCCCTTGGCCAGTCTTTTACGCTTCCAGCTATTTTTCCAGCGTAGACTTGATGGCTTTATATTTAGTAAGCCATCAATGCTTTGTTGCACATGCTCACATACAAACRGATTGCATCCATACCACACTCATAGGTGCAACTGCAGTTGGCAATACTCATGTAGCCAGCACACATACCAACATGATGCATGAAAGAACATAATATATCCCAAGGGACGCAAGCTTGATTTTATTGACCGGTAACCGTTATTACTAGGGCGTATAAGAGGACTAATATAAAATTATTTTCCTGTTGTCTTAA